GGCGGTGGGATCCACTTCCCAGCCCGCACCGGGGCAGAGCTGGCGAGAGAGCGGTGGAGCCAGGCAGGGCCCCCGCAGCCGTGAGTGCTCCATGCGTTAGGAAGGGATCAGCGCTGTTCCCGCTGCCGTGCACCCTCCTCGGAGCAGCTGATGTCCCTCCGTTAGAGCTGGTCACAGCCGTGCGAGCAGGGGAGGGGTGAGAACCAGAGCCTTGGAGCAGGAAGGTGTTTCAGCCCAGGGTTGCCCAGACCAGAGACAGCAAGTCTCTCTTGGCTTTCCCTCCGAGGCGCTGCTCTGCTTTAGATGTGCTCTCCATGGGCGCCCAGCGCTCCAGTTCTCCGGTTTTCATCCAGTTGGTGCTGCTGTCCATGAAAGCAGATGCAAAGCCCCTGTGGGCCCAGAGGGGACACGGCGTGCCGGGAGGGTGTGTCTTTAGAGGCCGGAATAACCAGCTCTGGAACAGAGGTTTAGCTTGTGTTGGCTGAAACCGTCGTCTTTGGACGCTTGTCCTGGTGACTGAAATAAAGCCCTTGTTCCAGTTCAAAGCCAGCAGCGTTAAGTGCAGAAAATTGCACCTTGTTTCACTGGGGAAAAAAAAGTTCGTTGTTCTTTTTTGTTTACTCTGGATCCGTTTCCGTCATCCATGCAGAGATCAAAACACATCATAACCCCGGCAGCATCCTCCCGCCCTCCTCACGCAGGTCCTCGCTCAGTGCCCTGGGGGGGTGCTGGCCCCCTGGCACGGGGCTGTCTCTGCAGCCCTGGCAGTGGTCACTGGCCACTCCGTGGTGCTCCTGGCCGGGCTGTTGAAAGCGAACTGTCTGACTTTCTCCTGCAGTTCTCATGCCGTTGTTGGATCACTGCAGCGTGCAGCCCGACGCCAGGGTCGCGTCCCATTCCTTTTTCGGGCTGAATGCTCAGATAAGGTAAGCCCTGGAGATGCTCTCTGTAACGAGAAGGAATCGATTTTGCCGGTAGTGGGGCTTTTGCTTGCGCAGGCAGCTAATGGAGTTACAGAGCTGTGGAGGAGAATATTTGGTTTTCCTGAGTAGGCTGTTAGATGCTTTGATAATGGATTCCCATAATGGCCACCAGATAATGCTAATGGAGCCGCCTCACCTTGATGTGGATGGGTCAGAAGTTCATTCCGGAGCTTGTCTGTACATGTAGTTACGAGAGGACAACGTGCGCGTGCTCTCGGGGCAGGCTGTCTCCTACCAGTCTGGATTTCCCTGCCATGTGGTGCTCCTCAACACGCGAATGGCCTGCCCCCTCGGGTCAGGGCAGCCTTGACTTTCATCTCCTGGCTCCACTCATCCCCGAAATAGACGGAGGCAGAAAAACTGGTGGAGGTAGATGGGAATAGCAAAGCAGGGAGCCTGCGATTCCTCAATTTGTGTTCTCACGCCAAAGCACAGTGCAGAGACCAGCCCTTGCCAGCCCGCGCAGGGACCCGCAGGCGGGAAGGAGGAGAGTGCCCTGAATAACAACTGTCCCCCCTAGCCAGCCTCCCGCCTTGAACCAGCTGACGTCCCTCTACGTGGGAAGGACTCACGCCCTGTGGAAGGACCCGGCCGTCATGGCATGGCTGGAGACCAACGTCCACGAGGTGTTGCGCGTGGTGGATGCCCAGGACCCGCTGGTGCAGGAGTCTGAGCACAAGTGAGTGCGGCGGGCAGAGGTGAGCGGCTCTCGTACCCCGCAGGGGCGCAGGAACGTGGGGATGGAGCGGGCCGGGGGGCTCTGCGGGCAAGAGGAGCTCTGTTCT